CTGGAAGTTTTGGTTCCTTGGTATTTAATTTTAGCGGTTCTTCATGTATTCTAGATACTACCTCCCCATCTGGAGCATAGCTGGCAAACACTTTCTTCCATTCTGTAGGCTTTCTGGTAGCTTCTTTTTGTGCAGAAACTTTCCAATTTCATAGGATTCTACCTGATGACTGTTGGGGCTATGTCCTGTGCTGGTGAAGCACTGTTCAGAAAATTCTTCCCAGGAGTTACAAATGGAAACACATTCCCTATCATTTTCCTCTGTCAGTTTCAGGACATTGGGTTTGCAGTTGAGATCTTTGATCCATTTCAAATGTATTTTTGTGCAGCATGAGAGATGTGCTTCCAATTTAATTGTTTTGCAGGTGGTTACCAGTTTTTCCAGTACTGTTGGTTGAATGGACTTTCCTGATCAAAACTTCGCTGAAAGCACAGTATTGCTAATAAAAAGTCCTTGCTTCTGTTAGCCATCTATCACCTCCCTCTATGCAACAATTTGCACATTCAAGCAAACATAATTTAATTTGTTTAAGTTTTACTTGTTTTGACAGTTAGAAACAGTAGACCATAATACAGTAAACCATAATACAGTAGTTGATTTAAATACTTTAATGTTCATTTTGGGCTCTGTTGATTGTAACTTGTTTTGACGCTTGTAAGAGGAGCAGACATTGAAGAGAAAAACACAGATAATCAAATAATCTAGTTCTTTAAGGAAGATTGGGAGGGATTATGTGTCTATATAGTTTTTCTTTGTAGACACTGCAAATTTCAAAACAGTTAGCTACACAGTCAGCAACCAGCTATTGAATCAATTAAAACATATATATTTGAAACAAAGATAGGGTTATTTTGTTTTGTTTTGTTTCGTTTTGTTTTGTGAGTGTCATTGGTTCCTGACCATTCTGTCATCCTGCCCAGCAAAGACAGACACCTGAGGCTTGGACATTGAAGTTTTGAGTCCTGATTGCAGTGGCTAATTTAGCATTTGATTTACCTGCCTTCATCATACCTTCCATAAATGAAAGTGTGTACGCCAACTTAACTGCCCCATCCCCCCCAGGGAGATAATGCAATTCTATCATTTTAAAAACAATATTCTTTATTAGATTAAAGGAGAATGTAACATGAAAATTAACCTAGAAACACTCAGTCCTAAATGGGATATTTTCACCAAACTTTTCTCCTCAATGCTCAGGGAGCTGTCTAGAAGAGGAGGCAGAAAGATTGTAATAGCCAAGGGGGATGGAGGACACCAAAGAAACACTGTCCCCCATGTACAACTGACTTGAGTGCATTTAAACTCACACAGATAGTGTGGCAACATACACAGGTCCAAACCGGACAGGGTCCCAGCACTGGCTGAGAGGGCACACACTCCTATCCCTAACCAAGAAGTTATCTCCATTTGACAGTTTGCTTGCAGAGTAGAGTTAGTTTTCTCCAGTGGGGTCTCCCTGAGTACACAAATCACACTTAAGGGCAGGGCACATGCCCAGGAGTAGATAACCATATAAAATGAACTCAAAGGTATTTTTATAGTTTTTGTTTGTTTGTCTCATATTGCTTTGTTTGGTCATCTAAAGAGATCTCACTGGTCTTTTGCTTATTTATTATGGTTTTTGATTTTCAGTTTTGTGGGTTTCCTTTGTATGTGTGTCTGTGTTTTTCCTGCTTTTGTTTTCTTCTTTTTTTTTTTTAAATTCTACTATGTTTGGTTTCTGTGTGTGTTTGTTTTCTAAAGAGAAAGAGAAAGAAGGCATGGCATTGAATGGGTGGAGAGATGGAAGGCATCTAGGAGGAGATGAGGGAAGGGAAACCGTGATCAAAATATATTGTTTGAAAAAAATTATTTTTACTGAAAAAAGTGAAAAACATTACTCTAGAAAGTTATTCTCCAAGGTTTAAAAAGAGTAATTGTATTTATTTTGGTAAATGGGTATGTATTTTGATAGGCCCGTGTTTCCCAGCCACTCTGTTTCTAAGATGTTCCGTGCTGACCATTGTATCAGAGACATTCTCCGTATCGCCATCTTCCCTGTGAGAAGGTGAGAATACTGACAGGAGCCTTCAAGATGAAACTAGATTTCCTAATGTTCAAACAATTCCGGGACATCATAGATGGGGTGATTTTTCAGGCAAAAAACAAATTAGAACTCAATTAAGAAAACCCAAACAGTTTGACTCGTTTTACTCTAGCCTTCAATGAGGGGGCATATACAGTGTACAGACATTATTAGCATGTTGCTGTCTCTACTCCGTATGACCTTTGAAAGATGGGCAGCCTCAAAAGCCATCACTTTTTCGATGAAACTTAGAGCATCACTCCTTCAGAAAGTGGAGAAAGTCCCTATGCTGAATAATTTTAGGAGTTGGATCAAGTGGGTTTTCACTCTAGGATGGAACTGATACATGTTTTTAAATATGTTGTGTGTGTACGCACATGAATGCAGGGTCATGCACACACACTCTTGTGAACATGCCTCAAACACATCCTTTTAAAGGTGACCTATCTTTACTTCCTTAGAAACCATAAGAGTAAACAAGAGTAAACAATACAGCCCACTTCAAAACCCAGACATGTCTGTGTGTGCCTGTGTTATTTGGCAATGTTGTAAAATAAAATGCGTTTTGTTGGTGTCTGAGATGGCAAGGGTTAAACTCAGAGTCTTGCACATGCTAAGCAGCCAAACCTGGATCCATCTACAACTCTGGTCTGTTATTCTTTTAATGAAATGCTTCATGTCTTTCTAAAATACTTGTCATTTTATGAAGCCACAAATAGCCGAGATGGTTTAAATTTTTATTTTAAAATGTAACTGGAAACCAGGTGGGTGTAGTGGTGCATGTCTTTTATCCCAGCATTTGGGAGGAAGAAGCAGGCAGATCTCTGTGACACTGAGGCTAGCTTTGTCAACAGAGTGAGTTCCACGACAGCTAGGGCCATGTAGGAAGACCTTGTCTCAAAAAGCCATAAAATGAAATAAAATAATCTGGGTTAGGAGTCAGAGGCTGTCTGATCTCTGTGAATTTTAGGGTGGCTAGCCTTGTGTGCCCAATAAGTTTCCAGGGTATGCTGGGATACATAGCAAGACTGTCTCACAAAAATATTAAAAGCACAGCTCCGTTTATTTACAAGGGAGGGAGAATCTTTTAAACAGCTAAATAGCTATATAAAAACAATTAGATTGAATTTGTAAAGAAAGTCTCTTAATGAAAACTGGAAACAAATGATGTGCTTTTCCTAAAGTCATGTCATCACTGTCCTTGGAGTAGACAGAGGCTGGTAGTTTGGGAGTTAAAGGGCAGGTGGAGATGATGTCACACATGGGGGGTTATTCTCTAACACACCTGCAGATCGTAGGTAGAATTCTACCAGTATTGTGGAATAGCCACTTCATAGCCACTGAAAAGGGACTTGCCTGGCCCCAGTGCAAATACTTTGTGAGTCTGTTGCACATAGGTAACTGTTGTTGGGAACACTCTGATGTTGGTTTTTCTCTGATAGTGCCTTCTAATTTGCAGAAGTTAAAAAAAAAAATGTTATGGGACTCATATATTCCCATATATTCCAGGCTTTCAGATTTCAGTGTGTAACGTGCATTGCAGAGAAAAGTGTGCATTATTAGAAAAAGCAAGGGACAGAACACTTTTCTATACACAAGGGGGGAAGTAATCAGTTATTCTCCAACCCAGGGAACCTGTGCACAAGGGACCCTGAAATTGTGAATTTAGGTAGTCTGGACTAGTACAGGAATTCCTAAACCATTCAAGGTTTTGGGCTCTTTTATGTTTGATGGGGATTATAAATCCTTACTCTAGAAAAATGTGTTATTATCACAGTAGCCATGTAGGCAGGGATTCTGCATAGGAACCAGACCTCAGTCAGCAGTACCAGGGCAAGGCAGGAAGACTGATGCATGCCTGTACTTTCCCTCCATCACATTCCGCCAGATTTCTCAGTTTGGCACACAAGTTCTTTGGGAGCTAGCTCTGGCTTACTTTATCGACCACATCTCTCATCCTTTCCACCATATATCCCAAATGGAAGTCACATAGAATTGCTTATAAATGCTCACAGTGTCTGAACACGCTCCTATTTTCTAGAGGCTCTCATGTGCTCCCTACTGCCTTGCTACACATAAAACACGTTTGCATCTTCCCTGTACTCTTGCCTACCTCCTCCACTGTCACGATGCTCCCTGAACACGGGGGTTGCATTTCCTTATCATAAGCTGCACCTTGATGGACGTCAGCTCCTCTACCTTTCCGTGAAGTTTGCAGCAGCGGGCTCATCTGTGAGTACCGGTAAGATACAGGTGAACTGTTGCTAATGACATGGATGACTTTTTCCTTCCTGGCATCAGATGTACTTTCTTGAAACACATATGTGAAGATATATTTTTTTTCCTAAAGAACGCTATCACATGCAATATTAATAGAGCCATATGCCACCCCTCTCTCGGCATCAAGAATCACACTGATATCACTGAAAATATATGCCTGTTTCAAAAGTATCATGTGACTGCTGTGTTCCTGGTAGGTGTTTGGCCCTCTGCAAACATATATGTATGTTTTGTTGGGCAATTGTTTCTTAGTAATCTAGTTATAATTTTTTTATGACTTAGAGGGGAAATTCCTATGTTAAGAAATTCTAGATACAAATTTGAAAGTATATTTAGAACAATAACAATATTTATACATATTAAAGTGAATTTATAAGGTTTCAATTCAATGGTTCCAGGTATTTGTGTAAACAATAGCACTATATAACCTAATGGATAGAAAATAGTGTTATAGAGATAAAGTAGGAATATAGACACACACACACACACACACACACACACACACACCCCTACCTTTAAAAGGAACATATCTTTATAAAAGGGTACAGAGTACGAGGGTTCTAGGGTCATTCTCTTGGATTTTCAAGACTTAATATTTATCATATGCTGAAATATTGTCTGTCGCAACTTAAATTTTATATTTTCCCCCCTCTAGGCTAAATTTACAGATGACTGTAAGTTCAGGGAGAGATTTCAAGAAAACAGCTACAATACCTATGCGTCAGCAATCCACAGAACTGAAAAGACTGGGCGGGAGTGGTACGTGGCCCTGAACAAGCGAGGGAAGGCCAAGCGGGGTTGCAGCCCAAGGGTCAAACCCCAGCACGTCTCTACCCACTTCCTACCCAGATTCAAGCAGTCGGAGCAACCTGAACTTTCCTTCACCGTCACTGTCCCAGAAAAGAAAAAGCCACCTCTCCCGGTGAAACCAAAGGTCCCTCTGTCGCCACCTCGCAGAAGTTCCAGCCCTGTGAAGTACAGATTGAAGTTTCGGTTTGGATGATGCTCATGTTGGCCGTGTGGGAAACCACTCTTCTGCCTCAGGACCTTCTACAGGCACCATGGAGCCTTGAAGGAAACTTTCGAATGCAGTGTTGCTCTGTCCCTCCTTTGAGCTGACACATGTGGAAGTCAGGTCATTGTTTCGCTTTGACGAACATGACTGCTTAAAAACAAACAAACAAACTTTAAATAGACAAAAGTGGGATTCTCTGTAGTGATTCAGGAGTACATCCCTTCAGCTCAGTAAGGTGTAAAGGCTTCATGATGAGAGGATGTTTAGCATTCTACATTTTTTAGAATGTTCAGTAGCCTGGCTATATATGTATTTTTCTGCCTTTTACAGATCAACCTGGAAGGACATACATGATACATCTTTATTTTTCTTTTCCAAAGAATATTTTAATGCAGATAAAATATTTTACAAACTTCTCATTTTTTTTAAAGGTAACTCTACATTGAGCATATTTTCTTACTTTTATTATTTTAATTAATGTGCCACAGGCAGTCAATTTATTGTTGTTCGTGGATTATAAATATTTTTGATTGTCTGGTAGCATGTGGATCCCTTCTGCATTTTTTTTTTCCTTCACTGCATTGTTTACTTTGTTGTAGCCATACCTCAAGTCATGTCTGTTTAGTTCTACATTTTAAATTGTTTAAATGTGCTTCCCTGGCCCCAGAGGCTCAGCTTAGAGGTGTGTATTGTTATAGAGTAGTGGCATTATGCAGAGTCCTACCACATTAGTGGCTGGGCTCTCACCACTAGAAGGAGGAAAATATGAGGACATTTTGATGGATTTAAAGGTTGGATGTAAAGAAAAGGACAGAGGCAAAATCACAACAAGTGTAAAGCATCTGTGGCCATCTAATTCTGTCTCTTCTGCTTCTCCTTTTATCTACCCCTTGCCCTCATTCAAGAACAGCTGAAGGAATACATTTTATTCTGTCCATCATGCATACACCGCGAAACTGGAGTGCTTAAAAATACTTCCATACTCTCTGTTATCCTTACTGTATGGGCTCACAGAGAGCAACTAATCAGGGTGTGTGAGTGTGTGTGTGTGTGTGTGTGTGTGTGTGTGTGTGTGTGTGTGTGTGTGTGTAACTGAAGGAGATGACTAACCAGCCAGGTATTCATGTCAAGATTCATAGTCAAAAACACTCCTATTTTTCAATCAAATACCTTTGTGCTTTCTATCCCAAAGGTAATGACTGTAGTGAGTGGGTTTACTCTGCTATAAGAAAATCTGATGTATCTTAGAAACACCTGTCCTTGTGACAAAGGAGCTTGATCTGGGAATTTGATAATGAAAATGACACTTCATCCTCAACTCAAATACCAAACACTGAACAGAAATCACAGAAAGTTTAACTTACAAAGAGTTGCAAAATTTATTTTCTTAGATAATCATTTTTATGGAGACCTATGAAATACAAGTGTTCATCTTATATTCGTAAATGATGCAATAAAATGTATAGATGACCATTAGCTGTGTGTCTTTCATGGAGTAGAAGTGTTCACAGAAGCCTGTGTTTTATATTGATAAACATTTTATTTAAACAAAGTCTGGCTTCCTTTGGTACACAAACTAAGACACATCAAAATTGAACTTAGTGTCACACAGGCAGGTTGCATTGTTTTAATGGGAACAAACTGCACACGGATAAGCTATGTATATTATACCCAGAACTAAAATGTCATGCATGTAGACTAGAAGTTTTATATAAAGTCAATAATTTGACTAAATATCACACTCAACACATGATTTTTTTAAAGTAATGGATTGTTACAAATTTTAATTAGTTTATACTTCAGAATACTTCTGATTTAAATGAGATAATGGTGTTTTGCACAAAACAGGCTAGATCAAACTCCTACATAACTGCCACATGACCCTATCTAGACAGGACAGTGTTAGAAATCCTCTTCTAATGTATTTAAATGTCATGTTAAACACTGTGAACTATCTGTCAAGTTATTAGACTACACAGAGAAGCAGAGATTAGGAATGGTGTTAATAAATGGAGAAGGAACAGATGACAGTTAACAAATTCATGTATACACCAAATCAGCTAACTACAGCTTACACTTTATACTAAGAAGCATAGCTTATCTTGCACTTTGAGTTTGATTTAATTAACATATGAAGTTAAATTAGGAGAGCAACCACATATATATTATGTAAAAGTCAGGACTCATTAATTTCAGAATTTAAAGCCATACTGAAATTGAAAAATAAATTAAATTACACTTATCTGAAGTTTATTAACAATATAAGGTTACATTTAATTAGTGCACAGTTAAGCCAAAAGCTCCAATTAAGTGAATCATGTACAGATGATATGCATATGTACAATTCCTTCTGATTATTTTTTGAGATAGGTTCCTTGGTGTGCATCCCTGGCTGCACTGAAACTCCCTCTGTAGAACAGGTTGGAACTCACAGAGATTGGCCTACCTCTGCCTCCTGAGTGATGGGATTAAAGGTGTGCACCACCATGAGCAGTTTCAGATTGTTTGTTTTAAAGTAAGTAGCTCATATCTAGTCAAACAAAGCTGCCTGATTAGGATCCTGTTCATCTGAGTGTCAATATTTAGGAAAGCAGTTTGTACCAGATAGAAACTTCAGTTTTGTAGATTGTTTTATGTATGAGTTTTACTTCACAATAGTTTTTGTCTAGAACATACAGAGGATCACAAATAAGACAATCAGTATCGTAGTTCCCCAAATCAACCTCTGCTTCCTTCTAAAGAAACTAATTATGGATAACTGTAGATATAAACACCTTTGTTGGCAGCCGGGAGGTGGTGGCTCAGGCCTTTAATTCCAGCACTTGGGATGCAAAGCCAGGAGGAGCTCAGTGAATTGGAGGCCAGCCTGGTCTACAAAGCGAGCTCCAGGACCATTACATAGAGAAACCCTGTCTCAAAAAGCCAACATCAATAAATAAAATAAAACATCTTTGTCCTTTCACTTGAATTATAGTGGTCCCTCAGTATGATGTTGTATAATAATGATAAATGACACTGAAAAGAGTAATTTCCAAGTGACATATAGTCTAGGAACTGCAAAGAAAACACAAATTAGACGGGCAGATTAATTATACAAATTACCATAAAATGTTCAAAAGAAAGGAACTTTTAGGTAAAGCATGACAGCTCACAATATTCTTTTAGTTTTTAAGCTAGTTGTACAAAACTGTAATGCAAGTAAAATTTTCATCTCATGAAGGCAGAGACAGAATTCCTTCCTCTCTTGAGCTCTTTGTCCTATTTGAAAGTCTTGGAGATAAAAGAGACATAAGTCAATGGAGGCCATTTTATAACCTAACAGTCTAAGGCAGTGGTTCCTTACCTTGCTGATGCTGCAACCCTTTAATCTAGTTGTGGTGACCACACCACAAAGTTTTTTCCACTGCTACTTCATAACTGTAATGTTGATACTGTTATGAATCCTAATGTAAAATCTGTGTTTTCTTATGGTCTAAGGTGACCCCTGTAAAAGTGTCATTCGACCCCTAAAGGGGTCATGACCCACAGATTGAGAACCACTGGTCTAAGCAGTACTAGGTCTTTCAAGTGTGCCTCAGGACATCAAACAGCATTTAAGTGATTCTAAGTTACAAAACATGATAGTTAATAACTTTTCAGCTTACTATCTCAGTCCTAACATGGCTGCTAACGATTCGATCTTTAACACCATGTCTAGCTTTATTACAATACATTGTATGAGTTTTCAAATATTAACAATACTAGTTAGCTCTACCAGGGAGGGAACTCCTATAGCTGATAAACACCTTCAGTGAAGTGTCTGGATATATGATTAGAAAAAAAAAATCAGTAGCCTTCCTATATACAAGTGATAAGTGGCTACCCTTTACAACCCTTTATATTAGCCACAAATAATATAATTTGTCTTGGTGTAACTGATAAAGCAAGTGAAAGACGCATGTGGCAACAGACAAGAGCAATTTTGTTAGGTTTCAAAAGGGACATGGTTCTTAATTAGATTCAACAATAGTCTACATCTGGATAAAACTGAGGAATTACTTGAAAAAAAACACAATGAAGTAAGAAATACACATATTTTTAAAAGATCCATTCGTTCTTAGTTTTAAAAATTGCTGGGGATAGAACTCAGTAGAAGAATGTTCATTAGAATGCAGAAAGCTCTGTGTTTGACCCCCCAGAACTAAACAACTGACTAAGAGTCAGATTGGTAGACTTACAATACTGAGGCACACTAGAGCTCAGTATTTTAAGAATGAGAGGGAAGTGTAAACTATACAGAGGGCAATGAATGGTTGGTGCAGCATCTTTAGTCACAATAAATATCTCCCAGGCCACACACTATCTTCTAATGTTTCTTTTGTGATGATAATTCCATATTCTGCAAGCCTTCAAGAAATCTACAAAGGACTGCGAGCAACTCTTTCCTGACATCAGACCTCTGAATAAGAATGGCTCACTGTACAATACCCAATCACTGTTTTCTCCAGTCATTGAGCACTGTTTTCTCCAGTCATTGAGGAAGGTTTCTCTAGAGTTCTAACTCTTGAGTGCAACATACTCAGCTAATGATATATGTTTGATTTGCCCAATATTTTTCAATACATACTTTGTGCTCTCTTATTTTGAAATCATGGAAGGAGCATATCTGCACTTACTGTACTTTACAGTCTGGCATTAGGCAAATACCCCTTATGAAATCCTCATAGCTGGTAGCAATTTTGAATCTGCTTCTGTGACATACTTTGGAGAGGTCACTGGATATGTGACTTATTCAGGGAGCTTAGTATACACATATAAGTCTAGGTCCCTGGTACATGTTGTTCAACATTTTAGCATGAATTGATTGATGAGTAAGACGTATTTGAGGAAATCTCTTCCAGGTAAGAGAATTTCATGTTAGGTGCAAGATAGTCCCTTCATTGTGAATGAGAACACCCACTGTCCCTGTCACTGCACTTAGATTCTTTACACACAAATTGTAAGACCAAATTAGAACTACCTACCATTTATGAGCTGCTTTAGGTACCAATACATCAGT